GTTCGAAAGCCGAAATCTTTACGCTGGGGATGCGAGTCTTTTGCGGGGCCGAGGTAGTCGTGGGGTGGGGTAATGCGAAGACAAAGGGTGATGTGATGGTGGCGCTGGGCAAATTTTTGCATGTAGCAAAGAGCAAGGGCGTTCATGGCTTGTGGATCGAGAGGATGGAAAAAGTAGTGGAGAAGGAGGTCTTGCGGGTGCTGGGCAAAATCAAGGAGAGCCTGGACGAAGTATGAGGTGCGCAATTCGAATCATGTTTTTCAGGTCATAGATAGAATTAAGTAAAAAATTGATTGTCAAAATGATCAACAATAGTTATGTGAACAATTAGCAAGAAAAGCAGCCATGACATTCTCTCAAAAAAGGTATGGAGAAGATGAAATTATCACGCAAGGTTGTTACCGCCGATAAAACATGTTGATGGGACTATCGCTGACTTGCCGGCTCACACTACCATACTTGGCCTGCCATGCAAAGAAATAAAGCAAGGCGGCGAGTGGCTGTCCCACAAGACAAAAGCTGACCCAGAAGATCATGTTGCCTGCGACCTTGCCTTGAATGCACCTGATCTTTTGGATGACGTCAGTGAGCGCGATGAGTGGAATCTGGATCATCATGCCCGCAAATGCCACACCAATGATGTTATGTGTGGGCACTCCGACAAGCAGCTCATGAAGTACACCGGAAAAGAAGAAGACAAGAATCTGAGCCACGGGAGGGGGGATGCCACGACCGACTAAAGGAGAGTAGATGTGCCGACGCATGAAATTTGTCACCGGTTTGTTCCAGGTCGTCCAGTAGGTGCGAATAGACGACACATTCCACCAGTCACCATAGAATTCCCGGTCGCCAAAACGCATCACTTCGGCAAGGGCATTGAGCGCCGACTGGAAAAGAGCAAAGAAGCCGCAGAGCCAACAAAATACAGAGATGGTAGAAAGCTTCATAACGCGCTCGACAATAGAGGTGAAGTTGAGGGTAAGGACCTTGTCGAGGGAGTTTTGTAGCAGTGGCGCAGCGTATTGAGCCGAGGCAATCCAGATGACGATGCTGAGGCCCGCTAACTCGAGCAATCGCTTGAAGACAAAGTCCCAGCGTACTTTGTCCGTTCGGGGATAAACAGGCTGGTAGACAAGAGTCGGGGCCCACCAAAAATAGCAGAGGTTCTTCATGTTGATGTTTTGTGGGTATGGGCCCGTATTGTATAGCTCAGGAAGTGGATCGGCCTGTTTTGGGTGGAGGTAGGCGTGGCGCAGGTCGCGGTTCGTGAGTGCATATGAAGCGCACTTCAAGAAGACGATGACAGCATGCATCTCGCATAGCGTGCCGATTCCTGGGTGGTAGATGTCGTAGTAGACGTACTTTGTGGCAATGTAGAGATTTGCGACAGCATTGACGCTGTGGAAGAAGGCTATCATGTACCAGGTTAAGTTGAAGCTGCGCAGTGCTGCTGCGTACTTGGCGGGGCAATCGTTGTCATGCTCCCCGGCGATGCGGGCGTGCGCTCGGTTGGCCTGCCAGGCGGCGGCCAGTTCGATGAGGTATGTGACGAACAGGTGGGCAGGAACAAGGAGGTACAGGAGCAGGCCGGTGATGACGTCCGAGCGGCTGTAGTCGTGACAGGAGAGGCATATAAGGACACCATACTGGTCAGGTTAGCATGATTAAAGACGAATGCGTAGCGGAGACACACCTTTTGTAGGTTCACAATCATCAATCGCAAGTTGGACACGACTGGTCCTGTTAGCCGTGGGTGAGAGTGGTTAGGGTCAGGGAATGCGTACTGAGCACCAAGATCATGAGATTCCTGAAGCCAACAAAACTGGGGCTCTTGTCTGCATCGTGGCTCAGGCATGAGGTGCGCGTCAGAGCGTGTGTAGCAAAGACATGGCGATATTTCGTGTCGCGGGCGAGTTTGGTGGTTTTGTTGGTGGTGGTAATTGTGGTGGTGGTCGCAGTAGGAGTCGCGGATTCGGAGGCGTCCTTTCCCCGGAAGACGGCAGTGTTGGCGGCAGGGGGGAAAGGAGAGGCGTCAATGGCAGAAGAGGAGGCCATCTGGGTGATTGTCGTCATGATGGGAGGGCAAGGCAACCTATTCGTAGTATTATATAAGGCAAGGCGACTTGTGCCTAGAGCGCAATGGCTCAGGGTGGTAGTAGCGACTGGGGCTTGTGGAAAGGTGCGGCAAGCACAAGGGCGGGAAGAGGCTTGTTTGAGCGTGGGCTGTGGCGGGCGAGGTAGATTTGTATGCTCAGCAGCTGGGACAAGCCCGCCATGACGGCCACCCTCGGTCTCTGCATTCTGGGCTGCTGAGAGATACGAAGGCCCGTCTGAATTTCTGTTGGGAGTTGGCCAAGCGGGGGTCTGCACGGTGATGCACCTCGCCCACATCCTAGTACGTAGGGGATTAGTTCTTGGTAGTACATAGGCAGAGCCGTTGGATGGTGGCTTGCCCCCATGTACGCGCCTCGTGTGGCATGGTGTGGCTTGTGTCCTGTGGCTCTGTGGCTGTATGGCTCTGTGGCTTGGCGGGCGTAGGACGCGACAAAGCACGCGCTGCACTGTACCACTACTACTACTTACGTACATACTCTTCCTGTGCTCTACATACAACCGCAGCTTGCCCATCACCACCAATCCCCCCGTTTCCTTGTCGCCGCTCTTTGCTGTGATCCCTTTGCCCATGCGCACCAGCTAGGCAAGGTTGTCTGGCAGCAGCAGCCAGCATGGAGCGCGAGTACCATCGCCCCGAATTCGAAGGCGGCTTGCGTCCCCGACCGAAACGTGAGTATCACTACTGCGCATGCCCGACCCCCAATCCCAGCCGATGCTCTCTCTACTCATCATGCACTTCACTTTCTGTGTCGTACTCGCGACATGGCGATTATTAGTCTTAGGAGCTGACTCGAGTCTGCAGGTGCCGTCACTGACTATGGCTCGACAACGGTGCAATGGATGCGCAATCGGCGCCCACGGTACAAGAACGTGCCCAGGCCAGAGGTGGAGCGGCCGAGTGCAAGCTACATTGTCGATATGCAGCCTCCTGCAGCGCGCATCGCCAGTGCTGCCGAATCCATACCTGCAAAGGCAGTACATTCGTCACTCAACAAAGTAAAGCATCCCATCAACGTAGTCAAGTGGACGCCAGAGGGGCGGCGCCTACTCACGGGCTCGACTAGCGGCGAGTTCACGCTGTGGAATGGCATGGGCTTCAACTTTGAGACCATCATGCAGGCTCACGAGGCAGCCATTCGCGCCGTCGAGTACACCTCTACTGACGACTGGCTGCTGTCTGCTGACCAGACCGGAGTCGTCAAGTACTGGCAGACCAACTTTAACAACGTCAAGGAGATACAGGCGCACACAGAGGCTGTGCGGGGGCTCGCAATAGCCCCCACTGACTCCAAGTTTGTCACATGCGCCGACGATACCACACTGAAGATCTGGGACTTTGCGTCAAGTACCGAAGAGTCGACGCTGACAGGACATGGATGGGAAGTCAAGTCGGTCGACTGGCATCCGCACAAGGGGCTGCTAGTATCGGGATCAAAGGATCACCAGGTCAAGTTCTGGGATCCGCGGACAGGCCGCTGTCTGACGACACTTCATGGACATAAAAACCCAATATCAAAAACCATGTTCGAGCCTGTCCAAGGAAACATGCTAGCAACCTGCGCCCGTGATCACACCGCCCGCATCTTTGATATCCGAATGATGCGCGATGTCTTACTGCTCAAAGGCCACGAGAAAGATATTATTACAATGGCGTGGCACCCAATGCACAAAAACCTGTTATCTACGGGAGGTGTAGATGGCAGCATTCATCATTACCTCCTCGACGAGCAGAACCCTCCCCCGGGTGTTGCGCCATCAATATCACCCTACGACGCTGCAGACTCGCAAAATGCCCCTTCGCAAACTATATATCCCGCACACAGCCTGCAATACGCTCACGACTTTACGGTCTGGACCATGGACTGGCATCCGCTTGGTCATATCCTCGCCTCTGGCTCCAATGACCGCGTCACTCGTTTTTGGACACGCCCCCGACCTGGCGATACAAACTACATCAACGACCGGTACCACATTGGCCAAGCCGCAGCAGAAGCCCAGGGTACCTTTGATCGCAGCCAGGGCCGACGACAGAAGATGGAAGAAGAAGAACAGGAAGCAGAGGATGAAGCAGAGGGCCTGGTTGACCAAAAACTCCCGTCTAGGAACATGGCTGGTGCACCCTTCCTTCCCCCAGGTCTCTCACTTCCAGGGCTCTCTGCACCACCAGATGGCACTTCAAGCGCTCTCCCAGGAATTGGCGGTGCAAGCCAACATTCTATTCATCCTCCTCCGCCACCACCTCCGCCGGCAGGAATGCCCTTTCCGCCCCAACTAAACGCAGGCGGCGCACCCATTCCTCCTCCCTTCTCAGGTATGGACCCATCTCACATTGCCCAACTCATTGCCTCTGGCTCTCTGCCGCCCCCTCCGCTCCCCCACGGTCACGGTCCGCCGCCACCTCAGGGTGGAAACGCTACTGCTCCTCCTCCGTTTCCTCCACCCCCGAATTTCCCTGGTTTCCCACAGGGAATGCCGCCGGGTATGCCGCCTCTTCCCCACGGTATGCCTCCTCCTGGTTTCCCTGGCTTTCCACCTCCACCGCCTCCTGGTGGATTGGGCAATGCTGCGCCGCCGCCGGGATGGCCTGGTCAACTTCCGGTGCAACAGCCGCAGCAACAGCAACAACAGCAGCAGCAGCAAGGATTTGGGGGTGGAGGTGGGCAAGGTGGTGCAGGAGGCGGCGATAGCCTGGTCAGGAAGAGAGCACCATTACCGGATCAGCAGGATGCGTTGAAAGCAGAGATGAGTCAGGGGAGGTATAGGAAGGCGAGGTAGTCTTTTAAACATCTAGGTCTGGGTGTTGCGAGGGAGCTTAGCTACCAGTTGTCCGAGTGTACGAAGTCAAGATTACCGAAGAATTCAGTTTTACGAGAGCAGCGTTCTGGCAGTTTTTTTCTCCTCCTGCTCTTTCATTCTGCTTCATGATGAAGAAGTGTTGAAAAGAGAGGGGGGAGCAAAAGGGTGTGCTTTAGTAATTGACACTTTTATTCCATGTGCTTTTTCTCCAACGGGATATCCAAACCACCCTTTACTTTCCTCACAAGTCCTTTAACAACCCCGCATCCGCAATATCCTTGAGACACTGCACCTTTGCCTTCTCCCGTAACAAGGCGTCGCCCCCGCCTTTTACAACCGCCTCGCCAAAATTCCACAGCTCGTCCAAAAACGCGGGCACAAACGTGCCAGGGCCGCTGACATCGTGTCGCTCAGCAGCAATTTGAGCCGCAATTTCGTAATGCAAAATAGCCGCGACAGCAGCATGAAGCTTATCCTTGGGGTTAGCAGCGAGGTAGGCGGATAGCGTGGTACCCAGTGTACACCCACTGCCCGTGATGCGACCGAGATACTCGTGTCCATTTGCAATGGCATATGTGCGTATGCCGTCGGACACCACATCTGTTGCGCCTGTCATGAGGACAAGATTACGCTCGCGAGCTGCAAGGCGCTGGACGAGATATGCTTTTTGGGCTAGCGAGAAGAGCGAGGCGCCGCTGTCTACACCGCGTTGCTGCGAGCTATCCGTCACCGTGTACCCGGATGCACGCGCTACGGCTAGAATCTCCTTTTCGTTTCCTTTGATCAGGTCGAAGTAGCCGGTGCCCATGAGGGTGGAGAGGGCAGCGCGCCGGACGGATGTTGCGCCTGCGCCTACGGGGTCAAGGACAATGGGGCTGCCAGCGGCGTTGTATGCGGATATGGCTTTTTGGTAGTTGAGGATGCCGTCAGGAGTGACGGTGCCCATATTTACAACCAAGGCACCGCCGAGTTGGGATAGGTCGTGAGCTTCCTCGCCGTAGTTCGCCATGATGGGCGAGGCACCAATGGAGAGGGCGACGTTGGCAGCAAAGTTTTGGACAACAAGGTTGGTCATGTTGTGGGACAATGGACCTAGCTGCTTGACCCTTTGTGTGTTTTTGACCGCTTGGGCTAGGAGAGACGTAATTTCATCTTCATCCTTCTCGTGCCAAAAGTGTGGCTCGGTCGACTTGAGCTTGAACGGTGGTGGGGATTTGACAAGCTTCAATAGGTTTTGCGAGGCAGCTTTGGGGTCAGAGGCTCCGACTATGGCTGATACTACAGCAACGCCGTCAATGGTTTTGGGGTTGGGTTGGACAGGCGTTGGAGCGAGAAGTTGGTGGGTTACGCGCTGCACATTCGAGGCGTTCACTCCACCTATGCACACTGTCTTGACGTTCTTCTCTGCTTCGTTCCCTTGGTCAAGGTATCTCAGTATCTCGCGGATGCCAGGAATGCCAATTATCTCCTTGGTGTTCTTCTTTGTGTTTGTGGCGTATAAAGTGCCAATGCCTAAATAGTCTGCTCCTCGTTCAACGGCAACCCGGGCCTCCTGGACGGAAGAGACGGTGGCGCCGACGATCTTGTCTTTGCCCAGGATACGGCGGGCTTCGACTACGTTCATGTCATCCTGCCCCAGATGTACACCCTCACAACCGATAGCCAATGCGACGTCAACACGGTCGTTTATAACAAGGGGGATACTGTGTGCTCTGCATCTTTCATGTAGGGCTTTTGCTGTGGAGATGAGGAGGCCGGTGTCAGAGGTCTTGTCTCTGTACTGAACAATGGTGACACCGCCGAGTAAAGCGTGCTCAACAACATCAACCAAGTTGCGGGAGCCGAGAATGGCTTCTGTGGAGTCAGTCACGAGATATAAGCTGTAATCTACTTTTTGGCCGCTCATCTTTTCCCTCCTACGTACGTTGGGGGACTCCAAAACAAATGTGACCCCAGCATGCAAGGTCAAGACGTTGGAAGACGCTATCGGAAATGACGCAATCGAGACGGGTTCGGCGCAGGCCTTCAATTGGCTAGGGAAGAAGCAACAATGTCTTCAGCAGCACACGTTTGCCATGTAGGTACGTGCACGGTATTTCTGCGGGTGCAGGTATGTGTGCAGTGCTCTGAGATTGCTGTGCGGGGCCCAACCACGGTGCCCCTCGTTGGAAAAAGCACATGTCGACAATGATTGGCAACGGGCCTCACAACCTATATGTAGTACATGAGTAAATACATACTACATACACGTGTGCCGGCTGCTATCACTGAATTCTGGCCGGCCATGGTTGATGGTTGAGAGTGGAGAAAGGTGGCTTGGAAACGTGTTCTCTTCGCCACCACATTCCGCTGCTTGTGCTGGCGGTCAGCAACCAGGCCGCAGAGGCAGAAAATGTTTGAGCGGCAGACTAGGTGTAGGTGTAGGCGCCTTTGTCGCTGTCGTCCGGCTTCATGCAGGAGCGGCTTGCTGAAACAATGCCTGGTAATGTGGTCTGCTTTGTCGTTTGGCCCCAACGGCTGCGTGTCGGATGACTGCCTCCATACTCCATGTGTGTGTGGTATACACGACAGCTGGATGCCTCTTGCTATGGCGGCAAACACACCTGTCCTGTAGGATCAATGCCTGGCACCCGCGTGAACACGCAGAAAAAAAACCGTGCAATGCAAGGCTGCGGGTGTCAGGAGGGGTGTGGGCGGTTTGGTAGGGCGGATTGTGCTAGTGTGGCTCGGCAAAGTCGAAAAACTAACCTCCGCCGTCCCCATATAACTTCTCTTGACCACCCACGACTCGCTCCCACACGCACACTCACCCTCTGCACCGCCCAAAAATCCATCCACAGCATCCGCCAATCTACGCCACTGCCTCCCCACGGGCATCAAGAGCACAACACTCTCAAACCCCCCTCACCCGCCTGCTTGTCGCCCTCCCGCGACTTGCCCTAGCCGCCACCACCACCACCCCACGCCTCGAGGCCACACGCACAACCCGCTCCTCAGAGTTGCCAGCGACATCAGGAGTATATGTATTCGCGCCAACGCTACGCCTTCCGAGTCGAACCTCCCCCCAAACTGCAAAAATTTCGCTGTATGCGGATACCAAGCAGTACTATACATCAGACCAACGGCTAATCCACTGCCCCTCCTGACCCCGAGTCGCGCCTCTCTACCACCCCTATTACCCAAGAGCCTGCATTTGCGCATGTCTCTTTCGGCCCTCGTCAACATAACCGACCCGACCTTGTCTGTCCGCACGCTGCACTACCAGTAACAATCTCACCCTCCTGTTCCCCGCACCACCGTCACCATGGCCACCGTCAACATTCGCCGCGATGTCACCGACCCCTTCTACCGCTACAAAATGGAGCGTATCCAGTCCAAGATTGAGGGCAAGGGCAACGGCATCAAGACTGTCATTGTCAACCTGACCAGTGTCGCTGGCTCGCTCGCCCGCCCCCCTGCTCATGTCATCAAGTACTTTGGTTTCGAACTTGGAGCCCAGACAAACACAAGCCCCAACGACGACCGCTGGATCATCAACGGCGCCCACGACGCCAGCAAGCTGCAGGACTACCTCGACGGCTTCATCTCCAAGTTCGTCCTCTGCAAGAAATGCAAGAACCCCGAAACCGACGTCCACATCAAGGATGGCAACATCACGCTCGACTGCAAGGCGTGCGGAAAGATTTCCGAAGTTGATCCTCGTCTCAAGCTCAGCTCCTTCATTCTCAAGAACGAGCCCAAGAAGGGCAAGAAGGACAAGTCTAGCAAGAAGGCTGAGCGCCGTGCCCGCAAGGAGGCCGAGGCTCGTGGCGAGGCCGGCTCGCCCGACAACGGCAGCCCCGGTGACAGCGCAGAAGAGAATGGCGACGACGGCGACCTTGCCCTCGAGGCTGGCAGTGATGACGAGCTCACTCGCCAGATCAACGAGGGCGCCAAGGAGATTGAGGAAGAGGATGCCAAGGAGGTTGAGTGGTCCATTGACACGTCTGAGGCGGCCATCAGGGCCCGTGCCCAGGATCTTCCCGACGACCTCAAGCGCGCTCTTGTCATTGAGGAGGATGAAGAGGGTGGCTCCAACTACGACACTTTTGGCAAGTGGATCATCGACACGGGCGCAGAGAAGGGCGGCGTAGAGAACCTCGACAACGTCGACATCTACATCAAGGCCAAGGAGCTCGGTATCGAAACCAAGCACCGCACCCTTACCGTCATTCCCCAGACTCTGTTCACGGAGAAGATTGTCAAGCAGATTGACGCCCGCGCTCCGATGCTTAAGAAGATGATTACGTCGGACAAGCACGAGAAGGCTTTCCTTGGCGGTATTGAGCGCTTCGTGGGCATCGACAAGCCTGAGCTCATCCCTCAGGTATCTGCTATCCTGCTCAAGGTGTACGAGAACGACCTCGTGTCTGAGGAGCAGCTCCAGACGTGGTGCTCCAAGGCCAGCAAGAGGTATGTTGACCTCAAGGTCAGCAAGACTGTTCGCAAGTCGGCCGAGCAGTTCAAGAATTGGCTTGAGCAAGAAGAGAGTGAAGAGGAGGACTCTGACTAGAACGGTTATGCTTACAACCGTACATGGTGAGAGTCTGTGGATCAGCCGACCGCTAACTGTCTCTACCTCTGCGTTACTTTTTGTGTCGACTTGTTCCTAGTGTGGCATGCTTGGCTTTAGTTGAAGACGATCATGTATTCTCTCTCTACTTTACTCTACTCTACCTAGCCAATCATTAGAAGAAAACCTTGATTATTGTATCACTTCGCTTCATGACCGTGCATTGCCATCTACTTACATATGTACCTACTTGAGTGCACCTGTGCCCCACTACCATGCCATAGTCAATTCCCTCCACCAGGTGCTCGGGCCCACGCTGGGCACACAGCGAAGTCTCTGCGTGCATGTGTAGAAACGCCATCCGAGCCTATAGCCCGTGCTACACCTAGTCAATGAGAACATGGCGCGCACCTGCATGCCCGCCCCCACCCTATGATCAATCTTCGCTTGCTCCTCGCCATTCATGGCTTGTGGCTTCCTTTGCTGTTCCACTGACACTCCTTCAGTACCCACCCTCTGCCCTCTGCCATGCAAGATAGCGGCATCCAAATGGTGAGAGAGGGAAGGAAAAAAAGCAAGCATCGGACCTCGCCTACCCTAGTGCCCCAGGTCACTACCGCGTCAAGCACGTCCTCAGCTCCTACACGGTCCATGTCCACCCGCTGGGAGCTTAGTCTCCGAGGTTTTGCCCCACAGAGGCAAGGACAAGTGGGGGTTCCATGCTCTGGATCCCGGCCAAGAACGCCTTTTTTCAATCCACTGCACCATGGTGGGTGGAGCGCGCGACGCGACTGGGTGAGTGAGAACCCAAAAGTCTGGCTTATAATGTGGCCGACCCCTCGTCCTGGCTACAGCCCTTTTCCAAGCAACCGTACGCTTAGTACACCTCTCGTGAGCGACTTTGGGGTTTTGCGCTCACGTCAAATCCGAAAAGCTCCCACAGATTATTATCCTCGTCTAGTATTCGACCTTGATCGCCCATAGGTCTAGCGTCATGAACCAAGTCCAAGTCCATCCCGCCGAGGGCGTTGTTGTCCAGGATGCGCACCAGCAGCACTACGATCCGCAGCCAGTGCACAAGACAGGCGCCGGCCACTATGTGACGTCTGAAAACGAGTCGCATAGCGGCGTGCCAGCCAACGAAATCTTGGAACGCGACGCGCAGACAAAGGGACGCTGGTTCCAGTACATCAAGACGAAGCAGTTCTGGCTAACGCTAGCGATTGGGCAGGGTATGCATCCATGTCAACCTACTCTAATCCAATCCAGCACAGCTAACCAAGAACACGCAGTCCTTGCCATTTGCATTACCTCGACAAACACTTTCTCTTCTTTGCTCTCGGCAGAGGGCACTTCGATTCCCGCGTTCCAGACCTTCTTTAACTACGTCCTACTCAACATCATCTACACCTCGTATACCCTGTACAAGTACGGTTTCAAAAAATGGGTCCGTCTCGTCGTAAAAGATGGATGGCGCTTCTTTATTCTGGCTTTCATGGACGTTGAGGGTAACTACTTTGTTGTCCTGGCGTACCGCTATGTGAGTCGTACTCGCTTGCGTTCATCCATAAGCAATTGCTAACATACCTGCAGACTACTATTCTTAGTGCCCAGTTAATCAACTTTTGGGCCATCGCCGTCGTCGTCATCATCTCCTTCTTTTTCCTCAAAGTGCGCTACCACTACACCCAAATCTTCGGTATCCTTCTCTGCATCGGCGGCCTAGGCGTAATCTTCGGCTCAGACCACATCACGGGCAGCAACAACTTTGGCGCTATCGATCAAGTCAAAGGCGACCTGTTTGCTCTCCTAGGCGCCACTTTCTACGGTCTCTCTAATGTGTTCGAGGAATGGCTGGTTTCCGAACGGCCTCTTTACGAAGTCGTTGGCCAATTGGCTTTCTGGGGCATGTTCATCAACGGCACGCAGGCTGGCATTTTCGACCGCGCTGCCTTTCGCACCGCCACGTGGAACGCAGATGTCGCCGGTTACATTGTGGGCTACACACTCATCCTCTCCCTCTTCTACTCGCTCGCTCCCGTTCTGTTCCGCATGAGTTCTGCCGCCTTTTTCAACATTTCCCTGCTTACAGGAAGTTTCTGGGGCGTGGCTATTGGGGTCAAGGTGTTTGGGCTCAAGATTCATTGGATGTACCCGATTGCGTTTGTCTTAATTATCATCGGTCAGATCATCTATTTCCTGAGACAGAGCACGGTCGGTGAGGCGCTGAAGCCTTGGCTGGGAAAGAATCAGGAGAGAGGACATGCTGGGTTCGGCACGGCGAAGAGGCGGGTCGAGAGGCCTGAGGCTGTTGTTTAACAATGTGTTTTTCTCGCATGGGATGAATGGATTGTTGGAGAGATGCGAATACCCTGGTTGATATGAAGTTCACGTATTGCTATGATCTTGGACCGCTCAATAATAAATGATGTGCCTTTCTTGCCGAAAGAGTTGTACCGTACTAATTATCATTTGGAGACCTATACTAAATCCAGAGAATTGTCGATGTACGTCTGGATAGACGACAGGTTGTATAGTTTCACGGGGTTTCTGAATGATTGCGAGAAACCACCTCTACACCCACATTGCTAAATAACTATATTTCTACATGAACTGAAACTTGGATACCGCTGATTTTTTAGTTTCTTCTTAGTTGAAGCCTCTCTAGCGAGGGCAAAAGTGAGGGAGTAGTTACTATGCGCGGGGTAGTGCCAGGCTTTGGGATATCGATAGCATCACGTAAGCTATCTTAGATAACTAACTAGTTAACTATTTACCCAAGTCTTCGTGTAATTAACCTCTTTCTCACGTCCCTGCCCTCACAGGTGCTGCTTTGGCGCCTCTTTCACTTCCCTTTCCCCGATATCGAGCGACATGTACTCGACTAGAGTGGACTGCATAAAGTTACTCTACCTTTAAGTGCTGCTTTGGCGCCTTCCAAACCCTAGCACATTTTGTATGTACATAGTAATATACGAGTTATAATAAGGCGACCACTAGCGAATCCCCGCTGTCGTATGTATATTTTTTTGCTTTTTGCTTTATTTTTTACGCAAGTCACGTGAAAGTATCTTGGCGTACGAGATGCACACAGCGTATGGAGATACCAATGGCAGTGTCTCACTGTTGCTTGCCTAGCACGAGTAGACGTCATTCTTCCTGCCCACCTATGACAGCGCCACTTGTCCCCAGCCACGTTTCGTGCAGCCTCTCCATTCCTATTCTTCTATCCCCACTTACATCATCATCAACATCACCTCATTAATCTCTCCTCAAAAACTCTATAAAAGTATACCTAAGAAGATACTAGCATTCTTCCTTTTTCCAAAATGTCATCGCGCGGCCTCCCCGAAGTCCTGATGCAAAAGGTCGACGAATACGTTGACTCGCTGGCGCCCCAGATCCAACCCCGCATTGCGTCTGAACTAGAAGATTTCCAACAAAAAACAATCGATAGCCTCGAAACACAAGTCGTGGATGCCTTTCGCTCCCTTTTCAATCAAGATTCGTCTTCTGGACATGGCAATCGTGGCTCATCGTCGGGCGGCCCGTGGAATCTCAGTGATGCAGCACCCGACGCATACGGCGGACAGTCGCTGCCGTTCGCAGACGAAATAGCAAAGCTGACCCGCAGCTTTGGACAGATTTCTGATGAGGCAGGTGGGGATTTGCGCGAAATATTTGCACTTACTCAGGGAAATGGCAATCGAGGGGCGCCGGACCAAGCCCGATCTCAAGATGTGGATTTCTCATCTGGAGCAAGGGGGTTCTTGTCCTCGGCCCTGAATGCAGTGCAGGACAGTCTCGAAAACCGGAACGGGTCTAACGGTGGGGGAGGCGGTGGTCAAGGATTCGAAATCGGAGGTCTCCTCGGCATGCTGTCCAACACTATCAAAGATGCGTCACAAAACCCAGAAGAAAAAGCTAGACTTATCAGCCCTGAGATCAAACAGGTGGTGGGTGAGAAGTTGCGATCGCAGCATGCGCCTATTGCTGAGCAATTCACCCGCATTGCGCTGGACCATATCAAGCGCTGGCTGCGTGGAAACACCAGTTCGAGGGACCTGGGCGAAGGTGCAAAAGCCGAGATCGCAGAGCAAGTAGGCGACTTGGTCAAAGGTCTTGGGGGCCTCTTTGGCAACAAGAAGAGCGGAAACGAAGGATCCGCTAGAGGCTTCGACGAGTCGAGTCGCGATGGCGACAATGGCGGTAGTGGAGGTGGCTTCTCACGCGTCATCAGCGACAAACTGAGCACAGGACTAGCAAAAGTGCATCGAGAAGTACGCCTCGAGTTCCGCAAGGTACTTGGACAAATCGAAAAACAGCTTTTCGAACTCTTGCCCGACCAGTTCCAGCGGCCGCTGGAGAAAATCCTCGGCGGCAACCCGTTCGACTCACAGCTGGACCGCGACGCAGAACCCAATGCAGACCGCGGCTTTGGCGACGATATCAAAGCCAAGCTCCTCGGCAAGATCCGCGATCTTGTCCGCAAAGTGCAAGAGACACTCCGCGAAAGCATTCTCGGCGTCGTCAATGGTGGTCACCGCCGCTTCGAGCGCGAAAGCTGGGTCTTTGTGCAGTCCATGGTAGAGCAAAAAGTCCAGCGGTACCTCCCCGACGTCAAAATCAACGTGCCAGATGACATTGGTAACGAGAATGTTAGCGTGGGGAGTCCTGTGCAGCAGAATGTAGGTGGGGGTGCTGTGGCACACGAACAAAGACCTCCTCATCCTCCTGCTTCACAGCATCAAGAATATAGACCAGACCAGCAGTATGCTCCTCCGCCCCAGTCGTATCACCAGCAATCACCACCTCCACCACAGTACCAGGCTGGAAATTATCCTCCACCGCCACAACAGCAACAACAGCAATACCAAGGTTATCAGCAGGGATATCCGCAACAGGGATATCAACAGCAAGGACACCAGCAACAGGGATATCAACAGCAGGGATACCAGCAACAGGGCTATGGTGAGAATGAGTACCGGAGGAACGAGTACTGAGAGACAAGAAAAAAAGGGGGGAAGGATAGATGTGAGTTCGCGTTCCAGCTATCAAGACTTGAGAATGAAAACGAAGAGTATTATTACACACTGTGAGCGAGCTACAATAAATCACAAGTCCACATAACATAT